CCCTTAGTTCATGACAGTTTATTAAATATGGTCATTTATGTGTATGTCTGTGGCTGCTTGTGTATTTCCTTATATAGCATTCACCCCTCCTCTAGCCAGTATCTTGACGGGTTCCTTCAAACTGCAATGGCTGCTAAGTTTAAAGAGCTTAACCTTCTTGCACAGATGCCTGTTCCATTACAGACAAAATGACAGACAAATGATCTAGCTACCAAGAACTTGGAAGTGATTCTGTTAGGCAGTGTCAGAAGCAGCTTTAGTGAAAGACAGATTTATATACAGTTACTTATACACATATTGGTTGTTTGAGCCATTGTAGTTCAAGGATGGATGGGTGGATCCTTAGTTACTGCTTTTGTCAACACCACAGAAGAGTCATCTAACCCCGCTTTGTAGGGTATCTTAGTCAGTATTCCATTGTTATTAAGAGACACCATAACCATGGCAACTCTATAAAAGAAAACATTTATTTGGGGCTTGCTTACAGTTTCAAGGCTTAGTCCATTATCATGGTGGAGAGCATGGCCACACACAGGTAGACATGGTGCTGGAAAAGCAGCTGATAGTTCTGCCTCTGGATACACAAGCAGCAGGAAGAGACACTTTGCGAGCGTAGGCCCTTGAAACCTCAAAGTCCACCCTCAGTGACTCTTCCTCCAACAAGGCCACACCTCCCAACCCTTCCTAGGTGCCACTCCCTGGTAACCAAGCATTCAAATATGAGCCTATGGGAACCATCCTTATTCAAACTATCACATAGAGTCTGATGTGGAAGTCCGCCATAGAGAAATGGAGAGCATGGAATGTAGACCTGCAGCCCCTGCTCTGCAGTGCTTGGAAGCTAATTTGTCATCTGCACATTGTTAGTGGCCATTTTCAAAAATCATTGGCATCAGGTATGCATGTGTGGCTTCTAGCTGTCACAGCAGCAGGGAGGAAGCTGCTAGTGTCCCTGTGTATCCATGTCATGGCTTAGGAGACTGGTGTAAGGAGGAGGAGTTGTAGCCCTGCATTTCATTAGTGAGTTCATAACCTTAGCCACCTCACATCATGTGGGTCTCTGACTTTACTAGTGGAGTCCTGGGAAATCCAAGGAGGTTCTTCAGGGAAGACAAACGGACTCTTATTCAAATTGACGCTGTGGAGACTATAAATAGATGCTTATAGCAGCTGTAATCATAATTGCCAAAATTGCAATTGGCCATGATACCTTCAGTAGTGGTATGGATAAGTAAACTGTGACTCATCTTATTAGTAGAGTATTGCATGGTGATGACAAGAAATGAGTTTTAAAAGACAAACAGGATTATGCCACTTCCAAGCAGACGAATTTGGAATGGAAAATTATGTTCAAACAAGCAAGACTTGGGAAGACAGATATGCATTTTCTGTCATGTGGAATCTGGAATTTTTTAAAAGAAATTGAAGTATTTAGGATGGTGTACATGAGGAGATGGGATAAAAGAGGATAATGGCAAATGAATATTATCGGAGTTCATTTATATACATGTATAAACAATGAAATTCATTACTGCACAGAGTCAGCACACTACAGGGAGGGAAGAAAGTTTTGTCAGTGACAGGACATTTATGGAAAAGGCAACAAATGCTTATCACTAAGTGAAAAAAGCCAATTGAAAGGCTGTGCTCTGAGAGAATATTGAAAATGGCAAGAATCTATCTGTGTGAGGTTTGGGGCATCAGAAGACTACTGCAGGTTGGTTTTTCTGTGAATGTGAATTTGTTCTGAGAGCGAAAGAGCCTCTCTCCCTCTCCTCCTCCTAACCCTCCCCCTCCCCCTCCTTGCCCGTCTGCCTCCCAGTTTGACCAGGGTGACCTCGAACTCAGACTGAACACTTCAGGAGTGTTTGGATTAAAGGTGTGCACCACCATACCTGACTAGAATGTCTTTACAAACAAAAGCTATAGTATTTAAAAATTTGAAATTTTGTAGCTTTCTATATGTGCCAATCCCGATGTGTGTGCTTGTTTATATGTTGTATGATAGGATTTATATGTGCAGATGTATAGAAGCCCTTGTATATTATGGGTAAGCCTGTGTAGCAGGCAGTCATGGGACTTAGATTAACCACAAGTTAGATCACCCCATCAACCCCCAACAACAAAGCACAATGAGATTGGAGACTGTCTAGATGAACAGCTGCCAACCACTCAGCTGCCTTTCCTCTGCCTTCCTTGTCTGGTGCCTGTCTTCAGGAGTCCTGATGAGCTCCCAGTGAGTCAGCATTGTGAAACACATTCCTGTTCATGCAGAAGTGGACAGCTTAGATTTACCAGATGGCTTGTTTCCTGAGGGCAGTTAATAAGCAGTGTGCTTATTTTGCACTCTTCTCTGAAGCCTGTCCCAATCACCTTGCTTGTAAATAGTGATCCCGCATTTCTGAGCGCATCTGTCTGGAAGAGACCCATTTGGCAGCTGGTTAAAGTCTGCCAGCTTTAGCTCCAAATCTGGGCGTCAAACCCTTCCGCTGTTACTTCTCACTCATTCACGAGTGACGGTAAAACCAGTACCCTTGTGAGGGATGAAGTGGTAGGTCTAGAGTCCTTCTGGGAAGCTCCTGTAGTACTTCAGTCTTCCTGTGGCAAAGGCTCAGAAGGAGGCTACAGAGTTGCTGTCATCCCTTCACAGGATACAGTGAAGACAGTAACCTTGCAGCCTTCACTTCTTGGCCTTGCCCTGGCATGGTTGGCTGCTCCAGCCCTTCCTCTGTGGTTCCATGTATTTCTGAATGTGCATTTGTCTTCGCAGGCATGATTCTCCTAAGTGGAACTGTGCCTGATGAGGATAGAATATTAGAAACAGAATGGGTTCTGGTCTTTGTCAAAACAACAACAACAACAAAATGACCCACCAAGATGGGTGACATGCTCCACCAGTTTGTATGCCCTATTGTTCAATCTGCTGGAGATTACCACACTGTTTCCAAGAGGTGTCTATTGTTTATGTGCTTACTGGTATCCCAGCTAAGAAAAAAAATTGAAAGTTTTATGGGTTTTGGTTTCTTGTTTGTTTGGTTTTTTGTTGTCCTTTTTTGTTTTTTGTTTTTTGTTTTTTGAGACAGGGTTTCTCTGTGTAACAGTCTTGGCTATCCTAGAACTTGCTTCGTAGACCAGGCTGGCCTCAAACTCACTGAGATCCACTTGCTTCTGCCTCTGCCCTGCTGGAGATTATTTTTGAGTCAAAATGGAAGGATTGGTCATTATTTCTGGTAGAAATGAATGTGAGCTTCCTGTGAACTCTGTAATGTGTCTGAATGAGCTTGGTTTAACCAGCAGCTGAAGGCCACACGGAGGTTAGAGGATGAGTTTCCAGAGACATGAAGTAAACACCTCGCATAGTAGAGAGCTGAGGCAGACAGCTTCTGCCGCTTCGTTTATCTTTATCAGGTGGAATAAAGGCCTTTACGTTTTCGAATTGATACATAAATAAATAGTGTGCATAGCATGCAGTAGCAATCCGTGTATGCCTGTTATATTCAAACTGTTATCTATGTGTAATTTACACACTACCATATGTTATGAATGTTCCCTTCTCAGGAACTGCCTGTTAGAGATTTCTTACACTTTGTGTGTAAATTTAGGAAACCAAGAATTAGCATCTGAGTAACAAACACAAACAGGATCCCTGCACCCTAAGGGCCTTGTTTCATCTTATTTTCTAGGAAGAGAATATAGGATCTTTACTTCACGTGCCCAGCACACTTGCTGGAGCCATTTCCATTATGATCCTATTCTGACAGGATGACAGGGCCAGGAATCCAATGGTGGTGCCTCTGCTTCTCCAGGGGGGGAAATGGCATTTTACTTACTTTCATTTCATTCCTAAATATGTGCTCTCAAGGCTCTGTCTCCATCAGAGCCTGTTCTTCCTCTGACTGTGGCCTGTGCAAATGGGGCAAGCTGGGACTACACAAGTTTAACCCCCGCAGCTGGATCCCTGGATCATCCACAGGAGAAACAGTCTATTAAGGAAGGAGCACAGTGCACAGGGCTGTACAGACTTACCATTTGAGACAGGGCTGTCCCTGGGATTGACAGGAGTGGCTGGATGTCCATGTGGGGTGAGGATGAAGTTACAGACAGGACTCTCTGAGATCAAATACATAGGAAGCACTGTAGAGTTTGCACTCCAAGAAACCAAACCCTTTCCATTAGCTCATTGCTTACCAAGACCTGAGCTTGATGAAACCCTGATTCTTTTCTAGGTTCCTAAGCCCAAAGATGCTCATTTGTTGGTTCCCTACTAAATGTAATTAATAAGGATCCAGACGAAAAATGAGCAGTAGCAGAATTCTTGGCACTGCCTCTTGGAAAAGAGAAGTTGCCTTTAAGAGGTGGAAGTTGTTTTTCCTTACCTGCAAGCCCCCTGAAAGCATGTGCACCAGTATAGACTGGCTTGTCATCTCTTACAGCTTGCCTTCTGTTTTCTGTCTCATGGCAGCTTTGCCATCTAGAGGCGCAAACCAGATAAATTTTGTTGTGTTTAATAAGGAAGCACTATAAGGTAAGAAGTTTCAAGGGGTGCCGTTTGTATTTGGATCAGTTGGACAATAGAGTCATAGTTCATTGCACCGAGGATCAAACCCAGGGTCCTGTACATGGTTAACAGGTGTTCTATCACTAAGCTAAAAGCTTACCCACTCTTTATGCCAGAGTTTCTTAGGCTGGCCTTGAACTTATTACTATACTATATGCCTTGAACTTCTGAACCTTCTGCCTCTGCCTCCTGAGTTCTGGTATTACAGCTTTTCTTCTTGTTTAACCTATCTTCAGACTGCTGTGAAATAGCTCGGAAGTCAGTTTTCTTTCTCAGATAATTTCATAGTATTTTGCTACCTGGATTACACCATCCTAATATAAAGGTAAGAATGCTAAAAATTGCTTTGTACCTAACATTTTCTCCAAGGCATGTTTCTTCACAGAATGTATGTTCCTTCATGTATGGGGGTGCTTATATGTCTCTTTTTCTCTGTTTCCAGGCCTTCTGCCTTATCTAGTAGCCCGACATATCCAGACCTGCCCTTCATTAGGATCTCCCCACACCGTAACCCCACTGCGGCTTCAGAGTCTCCCTTTAGCCCCCCACATCCTTACATCAACCCGTATATGGACTACATCCGCTCCTTGCACAGCAGCCCATCTCTCTCCATGATCTCAGCTGCCCGAGGCCTGAGCCCTACAGACGGTAAGTCTCAGACAATTCTTCCATAGATCACCTGGCCTTGCATTTCCCTTGTGGCCCTGTATTAAGCAGATCTAGTATGTGGTAAGGTTTTCCACGTGACGAGACACGGGGACAAACTTAAAGGTTGAATTCCTACCTACAACACTGCTCCCTTGGGTGGTAGTGTCCATATTTTCACGTAAGGATAGCAATTTGCAGGGGAATTAAGTAACTTGGAACTGAAAGCAAGGTGTTAGTGACTCCCCTACTTGCTGCTATGCCCTTCTCTTCTACATTCCGCAGGTGATTAGACAAACCCAGGTTGTGTGAATTCTCTAGGAGCTTTGCCTATCTTCTAATGAATACTGTTGTATTCTGTATGTTGAAAAGACACGTTTACATAGATGTGTCCCTGAGAGCAGAGCATAGCAAACTCTACTGTGCATACAAATCATCTGGGGATCCTGATAAAACTGATAGGTGATGGGGGCAGGAGCAATGTGGAGTGGGAGACCTGCGTCTCTGTCCTTATAGAAGCTTCTGTGTGATGTTGATGCCGTTGGTCCATGGTGGGCCACGCTCTAAGTATCAAGAGCTGGGGGGGGGGTTGTTATGTGTACCTTCATTCCTTGAGCGTGCCAAGTAAAACTGAACAATGGGCAAAGAGAGTTAGACTTTATTCCTGTAATTCCTGATGTTCATTTTAGGCTTAAAATGTAGGTTTCATTCTCTGGTAAAACTTTCCCACATTTTTGTAAAATGGGAGCTAGTTATTCATATCTTCCTGTCAAGTTATTAGGGCAAGGAACTGTATTCTGAGGCTGTTTGTGCACAGTAGCAATGTGCACAAAGTTTCTGAGGAATCATCAATTCCCATGTAGTTCTGGGGACAGTTACCACCCCATGTGTCTTCTTTTTTAGAAATCACTGCAGTGGCTATTTTTTAAAGTGGATTCACTCATTTGAGTAATATTTACATTTTTAAAATCTGCAAAAGGTAAAACATGATTAATGTTTTGCTTGGAATTTGGTTTTGTGGTAAAGGAATGGAAGGTGGTGGAAATAACCACAAGGAGAACAGATGAAGAGAGTGAGGAGGAAGCTCAGTGCAGCTGACTTGTAGAAATTTGATTGGCTGAGAACATGGTAACTTATGTTTACTTTATGGAAATCATGCTCATCTTCTACATTTAATGAGTATGAATAAAATATCTGTTGATTGATTGGTGGGTCTGCCTTCCCTTTCCTGCCTCTCAATACTCCAATTAGTAACTGTCCTAGTAGTTACTTTTCTATTGATAAGAAGAGACACCATGATCAAAGCAACTTACAGAAGAATTGGGGTTTAGAGTTCCATAGAGATAGATCTGTGACCATCATGTCAGCAGGCAGACAGGCATGACAATGGAGCAGTAACTGAGAGTTTCCCTGTCCACAAGTAGGAAGCAGAGAAAGAGCCACTTAGTAATGGTGTGAACTTTTAAAACCTCAAAGCCCATCCCCAGTGACACATCTCCTCCAATAAGGCCATACCTCATAATCCTTCCCAAACAGTTCCACTAACTAGTGGCCAAGTATTCAAACGTGCATGCTTTTGATGGGTCATTCTCACTCAAAGCACCATCATACCCAACCAAATAATTTCACTAATGTTTTCTTTTTGTAGTCTAATACTTTAGAGATACCTGTTTTTACTTTGTGGCACAGATAAAAACTACTGCATATGTATACAAATTCAGAATACCTATTTCCAGGATTCTTCTGCCTGTAGCTAGTCATTGTAAACTTTTACTTTACTTTTGGCTCCCAGATGCCTCATGGAACTTCTTTTAATTCAGATTTCTGAAAATCTAGAGGCCACCCTCAGAACTGCTACAATATCTTGCTGCTTTTGCATGTAAATTGGCAGGTGGAAACCAATTATTATCCTACTCATGTAAGGCTGACTCTTGCCAGTAAATTGTTCCAGATTGATAGGTACATTTTCTTTTTGATTTTATAGTGGGAAAAAAGGAAAAAGAGAGCTTTTAACTCCTGGAACATAAAATTGCAGCTCATCATTCAGTTGTGTGTCATTAGTGCTGTGCTGCCCTTTTTTCTTTCTTGTAAACTCTGACTTCTCATGTTAGTGAGTGTTAACTTAGACACTCCTGTCAGGAGCCTAGGGAAGTATTTTAAGTTATGTCTGGAAAGATATCACAGTTGTCTGAGTTGTCTACTGTTGTAAGAAGTGTGAACATGCAGCAGTTGTCTATAGGCAGCTATTTTCTTTGCAGAGGAGGCAGTCAGTCATGACCATCTACATACAGCCGTCATTCTGGTACCAACACTGGGACAAGTTTGTGTATGTTGGACTCCCCATAAATTACATTGTACAGTTGACATCATTGCTTTCTTAATGTATACATGTCTTCTCTGTGATCCCAAAATGACAAAATTGCCTGAACGACATATTTCTCAGAATGTGTCCTGTCTTAAAAAGATACGTGAATTATATATATATATATATATATAATTCATGTTAATTTCTTTAAACAAAGAACAAAACTTTCTAATGTATTTTACTATTTTTTTACTCCTCTGTTTTTGCTTTCAAATAAAGACAAATACCAGTTAATGTATTCTTAGAAAGCTTTATTGCACAAACAGAGACATAAAAAGAGATGGGTTTGTAGGATGAATAGCAAGTGTACTTTGGACACTTCAAAAAAAAGTGGCTACTTGTCCTTTTGGTAACTGTCACCACCTGTTTCCTCTTGTAGCCCCCCATGCTGGAGTCAGCCCAGCAGAATACTATCACCAGATGGCTCTGCTGACAGGCCAGCGAAGCCCCTATGCAGACATCCTTCCCTCAGCTGCCACCGCCGGTGCAGGGGCCATCCACATGGAGTACCTTCATGCCATGGATAGTAAGTGACAAGGCTGGTTGATGGAGTCCTGGGAAAGTAACAAGTGCTAACTGGGAAATGGAGAGAAGTCTACAAGGGTTATGTGATAATTACATTTTCATTTCCATAGATGAAGCCACCAGCCTTGAGATGACCTGTTGCCTCCTGGTGAACTAAGATATGTACAGAATTGTAGTTGATGGTATCTATCCTAGGAATGTAACTGATCAACAAACCATCCTGTTCTGTTTCTTGTGATATTAAAATAAAAGAACAGATTTGCTACCTGGATGGACTTTGCATAGCCACTCTATATAATCATGGATTTTATTCTTTAGAAATTAAGCATTTAAAAAAGAATAAAGAAACCATAAGACATGTTTATTTTCATTCCCATATCCTTATAATTAAATTATGTTCATGAAGACTCTTTGCAGCTGCTAAGAACATGGAAGATTCATAATAGTTACACAAAGGGTGAAAAAGCAGACACATTTCCAAATTCTAGTACACGGCAATGAAGGAAACAAAGATGATATGATATGCGTGTCACTTGAGGGATGCCTAGAGGCACATTAGGATTCCTTTGGTTCACAATGGGCCTATAATGGCTTTTTAGAGTACCTCAGAGCTCTCATCTCTGACAAGGACCAGTTCAGTGAATATCTTTTTGCAAGGTCTTGAAGAGTGAAGCTAAAGCCAGATACAGGGAAGTATGGTTTTTTTAGCACTGATGTTTAACCCTTGTGTTTCCAGCTGGAAAGAGAATGGTTGGTCCACACAGTAATAAAAATGGACAGTCTGAGCCTGTTAATCACCCAGGACTTCGTTGGTGTACCCCAAAGGAGTGTGGCCTAGTGCTGGCCTCTATTGGGCAGCTTGTTACCACACACAAAGTAAAAGAACTGTGCTGCACGCTCTGTGGGGTTTTGTTAGGCTTGGTAGCATAAAGAGCTTAAGTTTCAGATTCATCATAACCACATTTCAATTAGCGATTGTTGAGGGGGGAACAGTTCACCGTTATTATGCAAATTAGTTATTTAAAAATCTGCAAATAAAGAATTAAAATAGCAGAGACTCCTTGGAAGGTCGGCCTACGTTACTTTCCCTATTTGATAAGAATATGTTTAGTCAGGCAGCGGCGGGTTTTTTATCTAAATAAAGGATGAAGCTACCCTTTTACTTTGTAAAAACTAATTAAAGGAATTTTAATTTGCCAGAGTATATGGTAAATTGACTGTCATTAAGTAGGAATTTAGATGTCCTATCATTCATCACATGAAAAGAAAGCTCCTCTTTCTTTGTCAGAAATTTTTATTAGAATGGAGAAACAAAAACAATTAACAGAAACTAGGTTGAACTCCCTGTGCTGGAGCAGTAAGAAGGCTCTGTGGCTGGGCTTCTAGCTCAGTGGTAGAGTGTTTGCCCAGCACATATAAGGCTTTGAGTTCAGTTCCTACCTCTGCAAAATATAAATGGGTCTCTGACTTCGATGTCAGAAGCACAGTGTGACTCGTGAGGGATGACATGGAAGCTAGAGTACTTAGTGTAACACATTAGACTAGGCCGGTATTTTTATAGCTCTATTAGTTCTAGAGATGGAGGGGCCTTGAGCACTTAATTCCTATAGGAAACATCCTAGGGATGGGGGAGGGCAAGAACCACTGAAGTCCATGCTATCCATATGAGCAGACTTAAATCAGTGCTATTCTCAGAGAGAGAAACAGTGAGGACATATTCCAGCCAGGCCTTTTGTGACCTGAAGAGTTTGATGAAAACGTTTTGCCATGCCTCTGGATGCTGACTTTGAAGGATGTATGGTAGATATAAGGCCTCTTATGTTTCATGGCATCAGGTCACATTATCTTCTCCATCGCTGCTAGCTAGTGAGGGCTGCATTTAGAAGGCTGGGGTCAATTCCTAGTATCCCCAACAAAATCAGAGTTTGTGGCAAGGATGAAGAAGAATGGCTAGCTCGTGTTGTTTCTTCTAACTCTGAGTCCTACAGAAAATAGCTTTTGTTAAGGGTTATGTGAAAACGGACAATAAATCTGGTCTGTCATTCAAATTGTCTGGGCATGACAGATATTTCTCCATTAAAACCTTATATGGTAAAATTAGTGTATTGCAGTGAGTAAATGTAAAATAGTTATGTTAAAGGCAGAGGGCATAATACAAATGAGATGTTCCTTAGATACTAGAACCACATACAGACCTGGGAATACTGTTCTGTATTTACATGCCCTAATTCAGCTAGTAATGAAGCTGTTCTGAATGACTGAACCCATTTTAAATGTGACTGAAAGAAAAAACTGAGAAGACACCATGGTGGAAGGGTGTCACATATGGATGTTACTACCTCTTTGTGTCTGGTTGTGAAATTAACTGTAAAGCCTTTCATAGTCATCTATTCTGTTTCATTAGATTACCTCGGAGCATGATGGATTGTTATCTTGTATGTGGCCTATCTCTGAGGTCTGATGCAAACATTTAATTACAGAACTTGGGAGGCAGGGTTAGGCAGGAAGATTGTCAGTTCAAGGCCAGTGAGAACTCCCCCCCAACACACACACACACACACACTAGGGGGCATAGTGGGGAAACAGACTGTTCCGTCTCTGTTAAAGAAAATATCCCCATTGAATTTTCCTGGCAATCAATTGACTTGTCACTTTTTCTCTAAAGATTTGCTTACTACTTTAATTTTCTGAGTAAGGCCAAATTGCCACATCCCTGAAAGGAGTAATACCCATGCTGTGAAACACAAGATCTTCTTTTTATATTTAAAATTATTTATAATTGATTTGCTTCTTAACTGGCAAAATTACCTCTCACTCTCTCATTAAGCTTTAGTCTTATGACTCTGACTTGTAAATTGATCTTGCAAAAGCAAGCCTGGACCACTGGGCAGCATTCTCTACTCTGTCCCAACTCAAATCTTGACATCTAACAATTTTGAATGAAAATCATATTTAATTGTAACCCCTCAGTTAGAAACCACTGTATTAAGTGGGCATGTGTTTAGATTGAGTTGCTAACTTTCGAGTTAAGGGGCCATCAGAGGGCTTTTCTTGAAGTCTTAAAACTTTTAGTTCTTTAATGGTGAAGAAGGTCCATTTCAATAACCTTAGGGATATCAAGCCTTGCTAACATGTATGCACAGTTTATGCCTCCCATCATGGAACGTTTATCGTGCACTGTAATCAACAACATGTTTAGATGAGAAGGCTTTTAGGAGAGGTAAATCCCCCATTTTGACACCACTGAGTACAAGGTTCTGTATGGTGAGACTGCTCTGTGCACAAGAGGCATCGGACAATAGTCTGGCCTCTTCCTACTAGATGTCCATAGCATGCCCTGAACTGTGATAACCAGATGTTGTCAGATGCTTTCTGGGCTACAAAATCACCCCAAATTGGGTATCCCTGCTTAGGGCAATGCTTTGTGTATTGTTTTAGTGATGCTGTAAGTTTACTGGGGAGCATTTAGCTGCTGGAGAGGCAGTCATAACTACACCAAATTCCTTCTTTTAGCATGCTTTAATTCAGTTTTTGTCATTCACCTCATTGCCTTAAAATGGCATGTGTTAGAGTGGAGAGGGCATTGTGTTGCAACTGTGGGAACCTCTGTCTTTGTCGCTTGTGGTGAATTAATGATGGGAATATCTAAGCAGCTGTCAGATTCATAAATCATTAGAAATGAGAAGGATAACACATAAAAGTCTCTGCCTTTTGTTGAGCAATTTATCATTTTGCCTGCACATTAATAAACAGCTCTCCTCTGAGGTAAGCCCCTGAAAGATAAATATTTTGCCCTAATTTCTTCAATTGTAGCCAGTGGATCACAGGGGGGAGGAGAGATACTTGTCACCACAAGTTGCCAACTTGTATCCCTCTCCTTTGCACTGAGAAGCGGGAGTCAATTACATATAGATTCTGGCTGGAGGTAATCAAGTTCTGTTTTGTTTTGTACAGGCGCCAGATTTCCTAGCCCCAGACTGTCAGCTAGGCCCAGCCGAAAACGCACACTGTCCATATCACCACTGTCAGATCATAGCTTCGACCTTCAGACCATGATAAGAACATCTCCTAACTCCCTGGTCACAATTCTCAATAATTCCCGTAGCAGCTCTTCAGCGAGTGGTTCCTATGGGCACTTATCGGCAAGTGCAATCAGGTACGTATTTTCCTGAATCCATTATATGTCTTTATAATAAAATGTTAGAGCTCAAATGAACCAGTAAGCCATTTGCAGAACCAGTGGTCTGAGAGGAAGAAAGAGCCACCAGGCTGCTGTATCTGTATCAGGACTCGGGTTAAATGCCACAGCAGTGAGCCAAAATTAATTTGTTTGTATGCACTAGTCAGTAGTTCCTATATGGCAGTTACTCAGTTACGATGCAGTCTACTTCTTAGAGACAGAGAGTTTCAGATCTTTTTCTCCAGGTCTACTGTTGCAAATAGTTCTATAGAATAAAAACCACCTCTGCCTGGCTACCCAGCCTGTGTACAAAAGAGGAACCAAACCAGACAAACTTACCTTAACTCTCAACAGAAAGAGATGCACTGAGAATGAAAGAGTTCAAAACAATGCTTTTAGTTCAACAGAAAACAAATGCAGATGATCTGGGGTCACCTGCTGGGCCAATCACTGGTGAGCTGACAAGAATTAATTACACATTTCCAGCTTAATTTTTAAACATTAAAAACTTTGGCCATCTTTTCTGTGTGGCGAAGTAATTTTAACATGCCCTTACATGAATGTAAGGAATATAAAAGTGATCATTATAAAAACACTGTTATTGCAAATGATCAAGCAGGTTTGAACTGTTATCACTGAATACAAAAGGAACACAAAGAAGCCATGCTAAAAATTTGTGAGATGTTCATTCTACTTTTGTCAGCTAATCACTTTGTTTCAACTGTGCTAGTGATAAATAATAATAGAGGTAGAATTAAACAGTATTCTAATGGTTAATTCAATAATCCTAGTAATAATAGTTCTTATTTCCCCTACAATTTTCACCATGCTTTATGCATTCACTTAGTGGCAGTCTTTGAATTATAGTTTGCGGACTGTGGATGATTCCTTGCTTTGAGAGTGAATACCAGGGACGCTGGAGTGATGACAGGGCACTGGGGAAGGGAAGACAGGCATCAGGAATTCAAGGCCAACTTCTGCTTCTTAGTGACTTGACCTTTTTGTGCTGCTTGACATCCTACCAGAACCCCAAGAAAACACAAGAAATAACTGAAGCATAAAGCCTAATGACTTTTTCATGAGCATTGCTTTTTAATAAGAACGTACTTTATTTATTTTCTATTAATGGGCAAGAGCTCTAGTTCTTAAATGAGGTTTTCATGGTGACTTTATAATACACATAAACAATAGTATTCCCTCCATATTTATTAAGATAACTAATACTATTGTTGCACTAGAACACTTTCCAGTGCAGTTTTGATTCTTTTATAGTTCAATTATCATATCAGTGATTCTCATAATAGGCAAGTTAGCGTTATTATGATGAATCGTGATTCTCATTTTCTGCTATTCTTTTCATGGAAACATGGGATGATGCTAACACCTGCTTATGTGACTATAGTCAGTACACAGTGTGGGGTCTGGGGTGTCTCAAGGTCAGCCAGTGTAATCAGTAGAGTGGGTACTCTGGTGTCTCAGGGTCAGCCAGTATAGTCAGAAGTGTAGGCTTCAAACATCTGTCTATAGTCAAATCTCAGCTTTTGCCATAATCTGCATATTTAACCAGTTCATGTAAGACATCCAGTGTGTTAGAATGGGTCGTGTTTTATTATGTATGGATTCACAATGGGACAGAAGTTCTTCTCCATTGGTAAAAATTTTTTTAAAAAGGTCCTGAATGGTACTTCTTAATGACACAACCAGTGATATTTCAGCCTGTTGTTCTCCAACCCAAGGCAAGTTATTCCTGTTCTCCTAGCTTGTGTTCCTAGGTCGTCTGCTACCACCAGTTATATCTTAATTTGTGGTTATCTGACTTAACTCAAACACCCACATAGAAATGTAGCATACTGTGATATTTGTACAAATGGTATTCGCAGGGATCACCCTGTGGCTTTTGTGGGGAGGTGGTTGTACTGGACTTTGAACTCAGGACATTGGGTATGTTAGGTAGGTGATCTACCACAAAGCTACACTTCCAGCCCCAGAATTATTTTGTAAACAATTCTTTCTTCTCTGAATTATTCCCACTTGCTTGCTTTAATTTTTACAGTATCCTAGGAGGCAGTTTAAAAGTTTAGAATATGTCGCGTAAATGTCCACAATAGTGGCATTTGTTCTTACCGCTCATCTTCTTGACATCTTACAGTTGCTCAGAGAAGTAGGTACTACAGCACTTCAGAGATCATTGGTATCCCAGCTTAAAATAATCATTTCATTAAAAGTGGAAGAAGAGATTGACGTTAAAGACCAGTGAGATGTCGAAAGATCCAGTGAAAAGCAGGGGACCCGGGACCATCACATACTCATTTTCTTTCTTGCCTTTGAGTGTTTTCATGCATGTTCTCCCTCCCAGGGGATATCTTAGTCTTTAATATACATCCATGGTATGTTAAGATAATATGTCCCTTCTTTTCCATAGAAGCGAATCCATTATGTAATAAGCTGCCATGTACTGTTATAATGCAGTAATGGACAGTATCATCTCCACTTGCCAGAGAAACTTTGGTGCATTGTTTTCCCTAGACCTAAATAAACCAACTCAGCAATAATCAATGAGTAATAGGACCAAAAAATGTCAGGGAAAGGAGAGAAGCCTGTGAACACCCTGAGGGAAGGTGCCTTTCTTAAGAGTGAACAATGTGAGAGCAACTGAGCAGGAAGTGCATTTGGTGTCTGCATTGAACCAGGTAAGAGAATAGGCACACGGAAGGAGGAAACTGGCCAATTTACCATGCGTGGTTACTCCACAGCATTTCAGTTTGCTGCTTATTACTTTACTCCCAACACCCCTGACTTTCACACTTAGCGTTTTCTAGGGCCTACTTCACTGTTAGTATTGACCGTGCAAAGGGTCATTATATCATTTAAGTTCATAATACTGCACTTACATAATAATCCGGTCTTGGAATTTCTGTTGCTGAAGAAGGAGGATCATAACTCCCCTCTCACATATGTGCATTATTACCTTTGTCCTCTTCCATTGGCATGGTGCCACCAAGTAGTTATCTAATGGATAAATTAAGGAGTCCTGCCCCTGCCCAAGAACAATAAACCACATAAATGTCTTTCACCTTTGATTTATTGAGTGATTATGGTTTTCTAGAAGTTAAGATCTATTTGGATGTTAGTCTACATCCCCACAGATTAACTATATATATCAGAGACAAAGAAAGTGATACGAAATTAAAGGGTTATATTTTTAAAATATGTACTTAATAATTCAGACTGCTTTAAAAATCTCATTTAACAAATACACTTAAAAGCTTGTTACCATATTAACCATAGTAATTGGACATGTCAGAATAGCTGTGTATTCCAAGCCTATTTTTTTAATCTCATGGGTGCTGTAACTCAAAAAACCTTCATATATATTATAGAGCATTTCATTTAAAGAGGTTGTTGAGTGTCTCTATCACTTGAAGGTTTCCACTGAAGACCACAGCATCAAGCAGCCTGTAGTTCAATCTACAGTTAAATCTAACATTGTCAATAGCTCATTTCTCACATTAGATTTAAAAGTTTGTTCTGCTCATACCTTCCCCTGCCCAGATATTAAGCCATCATAGGAAGAGAAGACATTTCAAATGATCTTTTTTTTTTTTGCCAAATGTAAATGAAATGGAGAAATTGTTAGTGAATGCATTCCCAGCACACCAGGTGTAGCTTTTTCACTGTCAATTTAGTGGTGAAAAGAAGAGGATTTCCTCACATTAATGGTTTAAGATCTGGCTTGGTTAAGAAAATCATCTCAATGAAAATGGAATTTCTTGTTCTGTTTTACACATCACCTACTTGAGTGCCAAGATCTCCAACTTCACAATCATTGCAAGTTTTTCTGTTGTCTGTACATACAATCTTGGCCTGATGACTGTTGTGTTCTCTGACCTCTCTTGCATTCTATCATCCTTTCCTGGTGTAAGAACTTTGTGAAATGAGGATGCATTTGCCAGGTCCATGGATGCTGCCTGATGGGAGGTAGGAACCAGTGCAGTTTCACAGCTCTCCGGCCCTCTACGGCTAATGAGAGCAAATGTCTTGCTCTTGCTGGAAAAAACAACAATAACAACAACACACATCCATGAATTAAACATATTGGAAATAGATGTCTACCATGCCAGTATATTTAAAAATCTCTAAACCCATCCTTTAAAAATTATCAGGTATCCCTTTGTTATATTCTGTAATATGATCGAATGAGTTTCTTTTCAGAATGTTTTAACCTGAGTCAAGCATGATGGCACACATCTTTAATCCTAGCACTCTGAGGTGGATCTCCATAAAGAGCCTCAGGGCAGCCAGGACCTACATGGTGAGACCCTGTCTCAAAATAAACAAACATACTTCAAATCTGAAAGTTAAACTGCCACAGCAATTTAGAAAATATATGTCTATTGGTAGTCACTAAGGAGAGTACAGCTTACATTTAAAACAAGGCATTCCTCCTAATCCAGAGGAGTCACTGTTTACACAATTCACTGGATTTAGGAGCTGGGCCCGTTTGACTTGCTCTGTCTTTTGCCGTCTGCTGCAGAGCGGTCATGTAACTCCATTCTCTCATTAGCCACCTTTCTGACCAGCTTGGCTCAGCTCACTCTAGATCTCTGAGATCTTAGATGAACTCAGAAACCTGGGAGGCTTTCCACTGCATCTGTGTAGATCAGACAGAGGTGGGGAACATTTAACTGCCTAGCTACCCGTGACCCCCAGGTTCGTTGTAGTTTGACACAAGAAAGAAAGAAGAATAACACCTCCGGCTATCATTATGTAGGAGTGGGAAATGCCGTGGTTACTATAAGGAAAAACGGTTATCTTCAGGAAAAATACTGCTTTTTAAAAATTAACAGAAAAATAAGAAGTTCCAATATAATACTAAGTGTGACTGTAATGTACTCCAGCTTTTACCTTTGCATGTCCAGTGCTGAGCAATGTATCCTCTTCTTTGTTTTCATTTTATTGCAAAAACAATCAGCTCTTCCAGTGTAAAGGACTCATCTGTCCAAACCATGTTGCTTTACTGATAGCACGATTATTAAGAAATCTAGCAGCTGGGCGCTGGTGGCATACTCCTTTAATCCCAGCACTCAGGAGGCAGAGGCAGGCAAATCTCTGTGAGTTCGGGACCAGCCTGGTCTACTGAGCGAGTTCCAGGACAGGCTCCAAAACAATACAGAGAAACTCTGTCTCAAAAAAAAAAAAAAAGAAAGAAAGAAAAGAAATCTAGCATCACTACACATATGAAATTACTGAAAACTTTAAGAACACATTAGAGGGTCTTTTTGTAAGCTCCTTTAATGCAATTTTCCATGTGATTTGAATACAATGACTTTGAAATGCCTGTTTATAGTAGGGTTGAATTAATATTTAATGACTTATATGTACAGAATGAACTTTTAGTGTCCCATATATTAATCTGTTGTTCTAAAAATTAAATAGAAATGCGAGTTACTGGCTGGTCATAAGGCGCGCGCGCGCGAGAGAGAGAGGCTCATAACTTATGGTGTGATAGAGTTATGTGTATCAAACATGATTTTTTGTTTTAAAGTTTTTCTTATTTATTATAATTAGTATTTAGCTTTCTGGCTAGACATGACAAGACATACAGAAAGTACTCAGTTCAAATTTCTAGAATTAATGAATGAGATGTATATAACTAATGACATTTAATTGTTTTGCTACCATCCTAATTTTACCCAGTTGAGGGTAGTTGGTTAGATTTTAACAGGAGATATCTGTACAGGAAGCTTCTATATTATTTACTACAATATGTAAATTAGAATGTTCAGATTCAGATTTTGAAAATCTTATTTAAATTTTTATTTTTGATTTAAAAAATTGTGCATATGAGTGTTTTGACTACAGGCATGTATGTATACCAAATATGTGCTTGATGGCTCACCAAGGCCAAAAGAGGACATCATATTCCCTAGAACTGGAATTATGGTTGTGAGTTGACGTGTGGGTGCTAGGTACTGAACCCCAGTCCTCTGTAATAGCAGCAAGTACTCTTAACTACTGAACTGTCTTTCTGGCTCAAAGGTCTTGTTTTTAAGTCTTTGAGAAAATGAACTGCTTTCCAAATAGAGGGTTGTGGCTCACTCTGAATTCCCCTCAGCACTGTGTGAGAGATGGACCTGACTGAGCAGCTCTGACTCAGGTGTGCATGGGATTCTGCCTGTCAGTCATGCCATTCAGAGCTCTGTTAAGCAAACTATAAGCTGGTTCTGATTAGTCAACTGTCTAAAACCCACATTTTCCTACTTTTTTATTCTTTAATAAGTAAAGATCAATTAGTACTAACATTGGTTATTCAGTGAGTACCAATCTCTAGCTTGTGTGTTTGTGCTGGTTCATTTTTTGTCAATTTGACATTACCTAGTGGTATCTGGGGAGGGAATCTCAGTTGAGAAATCGCCCCCGTCTGATTGACAGTAGGCAAGTCTATGAGCCATATTTTCTCTGTCTCTCTCTGTGTGTGTGTGTGTGTGTGTGTGTGTGTGTGTGTCTGTGTCTCTGTCTCTCAACCTTTTTTAAAGAATTTTCTGTACATTTCTTGATTAGTGATATCCTGGGAGGGCACAGCCCACTGTGGATAGTGACAGCCCTAGCAGGTGGCCCTGGGTTATATAAGAAATTTTAATAATATTGATACATTGTATTTGTAGAAAATTGTGGAATCATGCACTATTTTACTAGGACTTTTGAGAGAGACTCTAAGTACTGCTGTTTGGTGCATACAGTGTCTGATTGGAGTTTTCAGGGGAAGACTTCATTTTCTTTCTCTCTGTCTCTCTCTGTCTCTCTGTCTCTCTGTCTCTCTCTCTCTCTCTCTCTCTCTCTCTCTCTCTCTCTCTCTCTCTCTTCTTTTTAATTGACACTATCCTGAAGATGCTAGGCAAAATAATGACCCCCAAAAGGTACTCACATTCTAATTACCTGGAACCTATGAACAAGTTACTTTCTTTGAAGGTGTGGTTAAGCTGCAGATCTTGATTTTATTATGAATTGTCTGTGTCATTTAAATTAATGACCAGGGTCCTGTGAGAGAAGAGCTAGAGTCAGTGAGAGAGAGAACCAGAGTGAAATGGTGACTGGAGCCAGGGATCGCGAGCAGCCTCTAAAAGCAGTGGAAGAGGCGGGAGCCCAGAGCTTCATGCTTAACTCTAGAGGCAAACGAATCTGGGCAGGGAGCACAGAAAGTGCCAACTTAGAGAGTGACCACCTCTGTACCGAGAAGCCGAAACTTAATAGAGCAGCACTCCCCTTGCTATGACCCTGCCCACCTGCTAACTAGAAGTTCAAGTAAATTTTAGTGCGTATATTTCAGCTACCTGGTTTCACTAGTGAAAAGTAAACCCCAGCGAGAGCTGCAAAAGTGTGCTGAAAAATCTCAAACTCTTGGTACCCATGGGCAGAGAGGACTGTGGTACTAAGGAACTTTTATAGGAATGCTGAGCATTGACTCATCTGCTCCGATACCTTTAAAAATATACCTATCTTGTTCATCATTCTGTATACAGTGAATTCTATTGAATTGCTTGTATACAAAAAGCAAGGCCATTTTCTGCTTTGTGAAGTATTATTCTTTACTAGTCTTGACTCCTAATTAGGAACTCCGTTTTTAAGTCTACAATTTGATGTCATCCACAGTTTGAAGTGTCAGTGGCCTCTTCCTGAGTTTCGTTTCTTAGACCTGCTGGATAGTTCAGGCCCCCGAGAAACTAAAAATGTGTATAAAGGTTAATGCAGGGACTGTTGACGCTCTAATTATACCTGAAGTGGGATCTCTGGGTTTTGTTTCTTTAATGAGTAGAATAAGGTAGTTACACTTAGTAACACCCATTCACCTAAAGGAGGGGGAGGTGTTAAATCATTGTGGGTTTTGATGAATGGCTTGTACACTGAAAAATAAATTGGACAAACTGGCACAGAGCTCAGTGAACATGAAATCAGCTATTAGAAGAAAGCTTGTGAACAAATTCTGAGGTAGATATGCATCTTTTGATTAATGCCCTATCAATCATCCATACAGCTACCTTAGGTGAGTCTTGCTATAATCATTCATGGTTTCTTACAGAAATACAGGCAGGAACTATAGCACTGCAAAAACAGAATATTACTACTGATTCCTCTAACCTACTGTGAACAATCACTGTTTTTACCATGTTTTTGCTTTCCTTTATTAAGGAAATACATTGTAAAATGAAAGGAGAGTCCCTCAAAGCCTGCTGGATTTCTCCAAGGGTATGCTTGATGGTATTCAGTCTTAAAATGGGCAAGCCATTTTAAAGGAAACCTCTCTGTAGGAATAATAGTAATGAATTCCCATTGAAGCCGCACTTTTATGGGCCATAGTCAAATAGACAAAAATGTAGAATCACATTAATGAGGGGAGTATATCTCTGATTATTACTTAAAGTTGTTGAAATGGTTTGAATTTTGTTATTGTAATTATTTTATTCTCAGTTAATGTGCTTAGCAGCAATAGTAATTAACCCACCAGATTGGAAATTTGCATGAGTTCTACTTCTAATATTATGAGAAACTCTGGTTCTTTCTGGCTAACATTACAGTTGCGTGGGTGTGTGCTCTCACGCATGTGTGCATGTGTGTAAATTTATTATCACATTATTGTGTATAGAGGAGAGTTTTCCATATAGGGAGTTATGATTTTCCATGCATTTTTAAGCCATTGGAAATGTCCTCCAGAGTCTGCTGTTGCTTTTGATTCCTAAACTGTGCTCACCCAAAGATGCCTGTGGCCACTGGCCATTGACTGGAGTATCCTGCAGTATAAGTAGCAGCTCCTGAAAACTGACTGTGGCCTGGGATATAGGTGGCAAAATAAAGTGGTGACAGGCATTAGCATGCATAATGGGCTATAATAGATACTCAGTGTCATTGCACTAGAGGAGGGAGCTGTGCTGTCCCATCGGAATATTCCCCCATCAAAGCCCATTGATCACTGATTTCAGTGGGGAGAGGTTAATCCATCAGCTTCTGTAACCAGACGGCACTGATGGAAATTCTTTAGGTGGCATTCTGGATGAACCAAGCTTTCCATCTTTACAAACAAATGAGTGATATGACAAGCATGGTGTTCAAAACACATTTAACCAATTGATTTTCTTTCCTCTTGTAATAAGATCTGGAGACATATGAAAGCGATCGGTGTGAGCTAAGATTAAAGGAATTGCTCCATGCACAGAACAAGCAGGACCCAGAGCACATAAAAGTACTATAAAGCATATAGTCACCCATTCTCTTTTTTATATAAAGTTTGTTATTGCAATAAATAGTTATTATTGAGCCGATGCCCTTATTTCCACTTTCTAACATCTTGTGTCAGGGCTGTGATGTGGAGAAGATGTGCACACATGTCTGCTCGTAGTGTTCTGCTTTTTCTTGCAACTGTTCAAGACACTTGGCAGTCATTGTTTCTAAGTTCTCACTGAAACACACAGACCTGGTGAGGTTTGGGTGACTTCAGTTAAAGCTGTGAGAGTTTCTGATGTCAGCATATGTGATACTTTTCCTTTTTATCTTCCTCTCCAGCCCTGCTTTGAGCTTCACCTACCCCTCTGCCCCTGTGTCTCTCCATATGCATCAACAAATCCTAAGCCGACAGCAAAGCTTAGGCTCAGCATTTGGACACAGCCCTCCACTCATCCACCCTGCTCCAACATTTCCAACACAGAGACCTATCCCTGGGATCCCAACGGTTCTCAACCCTGTCCAAGTCAGCTCTGGCCCTTCTGAGTCCTCACAGGTGAGAGACACGGCATTATTTCATCTTGGTCAACAGAGATCTTGTCATTACACTGGATGTTAGTGTCATAGAGCTCATCATTGTTGAAATTTCACATGGACATCTTGTCTTCTCTCTCCAGAGGTATATTCAGCTTTGATGAATGTGACCCAGGACATATTGCATCAGAGCCATTTGCTTAGCATTTAAAAGTATAATACCTGATAAGGACCTACTAGAACCATCTATAAAGTACATCTTTTGATAATCCATGTTTGTAGACTCCCAGGCACTGTCCACTCCCTCTACTGTAACCAGGCTACTGCTGAGCACCGTATAATATTCTAAAGTAAACATAAACCTCCAGTCTCTCTATATTTTGCCAGCCTGGTGTGATTTAAAGAAGAATCTAGAAGCTAATTGATGAACTTCACTAATAGTGAAGTCACTGATCTCCCACCCAAACTCAACTCTTCTAGATATAACTTTAGCTTGTTAAAGTGTAGGGCTCTTGCTCTATTCTTCAACCTTTAAAAAGCCCCAAGCAATCAATACTCAAAAGTCAAAAGTGAAGAATGCCGATGAAGGCATTGTCTAGTTTTGGTCATGTCATCTGGACTCTACTATGGGAGACTGGCATTATCAGAATCGGTGCCTTATCATCTAATAAGCTTGTTTGTTTTCAGTAACATTTTCACTTAGGCTCTAGTTATTAATCAAACCTCATTTTTCCTTGCGGCTGCAAATATGGCCGACAGAACAAGCCCACAAGTGAGTCTGCAGTGAGCAGCACCGGCGATCCTATGCATAATAAACGGTCCAAGATCAAACCCGATGAAGACCTCCCCAGTCCAGGGTCACGGGGACAGCAGGTAAGACACCTAGGCTTCATAAACCAGCTCTTACTACTCTCATAGTAACTTTGGGTCAGTTCCCCCTCCTCCAGACTCATACGTAACATTTTCTTACCCACTCACCATATTCTTGACATTGCTGTGTGTATGAAAATGAGCTAATTAGGGATCAATTGAATTCATTTCTCTGGTTCAAAAAGAAATACCAACAAGGAAGGAATTTATGTGGGGTGCATGTTCTTTATAGGTGAGACAGCCTAGAAGTCTAAGCCATCACAGTACATAGAGTTGCTGGCCATACTCATCTGTTACTGACCATAGGTATGACTAAGCTTCTCATCCCTAACCTTGGGCCACAGTCCCTGAGCTTCTGAACCCATGCTTAAGCTGAGTCAGAGCTTCTGGTGACTCTTTCATGGATTGTGTCCTCCGTTATTTCTTTTGCTGCTTCTCACAGGACTCAGAGAACCAAGAAAGATTGAAGCATAGCCAGATAGATTCTGGACTATATTGCTGGTCACTTAGGTCTGGTTCCACTGAAGAGTATGTAGGTTATGTCCAAATTGCCATTTCATATGCTTTTGAGCCAGACACGATAAGTTTAATCAGAGTCATTGTCCCCCAATCAGAGCTGAATGAAAGGCTAAAGGTTCATAGAGTCTGAACCTTGCTATCATCAATATGCTTCAACCCAAGCTTTATTGAAGTGAGGCCCAGACTTCCTCAGTAAGAACCTAGAGGGTGGAATAAGGTTGTGATAGGGCACTGTCTTTTCCTGGCCTCAACTGTGAGGTAGACGAACATCTCCCTGAAACCAGAGGCTAAGTCAAGAAGGCATGATCTCTAAAGGAAAAGCCCACAAAGTGCCTCTCATATGAGGGGAAAGAACTAAGTGTTCAAAAGCCATCTCCTTGCATTATAAGATATAACAAGAAACAAACATATTGAAGGGAATCAAAACAGCCAATCAAAATAGGACCAGTTTGGGGGAGGCTAAATACTTTATACTTTTATAGTTTTTGTTTTTTAGTTTTTTTACCTCAGGTTTGTTTTTTGTTGTTTTGTTGTTGTTTTGATTTGATTTTTAAGGTGTCAGTTTGGTTTATATTCCAGGAGCAGGGTCTGATTTTCACCTTTTTGTTTTTGTTATGATTGACCTACTGTCTAACATCACAAATTAAAATGATCTAAGTATATCAGGAAAAAAAGCATACAAATGCTAGACTTCTTCATTCCAAAAACCCAGCGGATATACCTGGCTTCCTTTCATATTCTTGAAAAGTTGAGGTCAGAGGGAAGCAAACGAAGCCCAGTATCTGCTTTCTTGTGTTTCCCTTGCCTGGGCCTGATTTACCCTCTCTGCTTCCTGCCTTCCCCCACAACAGGAACAGCCTGAAGGAACAACCCTAGTCAAGGAGGAAGGGGACAAAGATGAAAGCAAGCAGGAGCCTGAAGTCATCTATGAGACAAACTGCCACTGGGAAGGCTGCACAAGGGAGTTCGACACCCAGGATCAGCTTGTGCATGTAAGTGACTGGTGTTCAGGGACTGGGCTTCCAAACTCGGTGACCTTTGCATGAGGGCAGCTTCTCTGACCCTGCACGGAGTCAAGTTTCTTAGCTGGCAGCACTGAAAACTGGAGAGGGCTTTATGATTTTTCTGAGAATAAAGAAATCTCTGAGCCACGGTGCTTGACCTGTTCAGTCAGCTAAAGCTTAGTGTAAAATTCAATAAAGTCTTCAATAGAGAGTGTAATGACTCTGATCCTGTAAGCCAGAAAACACTATTTTGAGTTAGAGGCTTTGATGGTTATTGAGTAATAGTAAGCTGGACATGAATTATTATTAACCTTTTAACTAAGTTTGATTCCCCTTCCAAGACCCAGTAACAATATGAAAAATTACAAAAACAGATGGTTTCTTTATTTCCTCTTGTAGACTTCAAAGTTTAAAGAGTCTCCTAATACTGTATGTAGCAATTGGTGCTTTATTTTTGACCCAAAAGCAACATTGTGGGTTAAAACTTGCATGGAAAGGAATTGTATTAGTGATGAATACCCTACAGGAGTCACATTGGGGCACCTTTCCTTCTCTTCCCAATGCAAGGCCAAGTATCTTTTACTCACTTTCTAGCGTTGTTTCCGATAACATAGTATGTTCATAGATCCTTCACCAAGGCTTCAGCATGCTTGGCAGAGTCTCAAAGGCCAGTAGAGCCTTATGGATAAATGAGGCCAAGAACAACTGACAGGGAAACAGCATTTGGGTTTGTGGAATATGAAGACACGTGCTCAGATAATTTCTATAGAAGCACAGGGTCCCATTATGGCACTAAAGATGGTTTAACCAAATAGGACAATTTCTTGTGCTTCCTCGGTGGTAGAGTCTGACCGAGCACCCCTGTAGTGCTTGCTTTTTTCTCTTGAGCACGTACACTGAAGACATTCATAGTCACCTCTTACCTTACAGTGTGCTTGCCTCATGGATGACCTGTTCATTGTAGCCTTCTATTTTCATTAAACACTAAAATTATAAAAATCTCTGTGCTTTGTATGTTGTGTGAGCTTTTAAATGGTTGTTTCTGCAGCTTAGATTGTTCGGTAATGTGTCTTGCACAGTTACCTAGTAGCATTAAGTTCAGCATAACAGATTATGAGAAACCTGATGTATAGAAGGTTATATTTCACATCTCACCATCAGGACCTCCTTCCCCCTTTCTTTGTAAATTGTCTCACTTTGTATTTGTATAAGTAGAAAGACAGATTTCTCAAGTACAGCAAAAAACTAAGTCAAATGGTTTTAATTAAGGTATATTTTCAGATTTTTCCACACATGTAATTTGATGGAATTTTTTTTCTTCTTTAGTTTTATTCAAGTATGTCTTAATGAGACTATCTGTGCTGACTCCTTTAATGGAAATCACAAAGGCCTTGTAATACTAAGAGGGGAGGAGTTAGGAATTCTTTTTTTCCCCCATGAAAAATTATTCTCAAAGAGTAGCATATGCTGGGAACGCTCCCAGGGAGGATGGGGGGTGTGGCAGCACCTTAACCTTTTCACTGCCTAACTCATGTAAGGCTGCCTTGGGTTTGGGTTTTCCCCTTCTCATGTTGTAAGGGCATTGTAAAGGCAGAAACTTTTGTGTTATTCTATGTAATCTTGATACTGAGATTCCCCTGTTTTGTTATAGCTTGGAATAGTTATAAGGAGGCTACTGGAGCTGCAGCTTGAATGACCACAGTATTTATGATTACATGGAACCTATCTTCACACATCATGACTTTGCACGCACACACACACACACACACACACACACACACACACAAAGTGGAGCTTTAAAGTTCTAAATGAGATAAAAGAGATTGGCTTCAGGATTTAGTCAAATTCCAGTGTGTTAACCTTTATGACATTAATTTTAGTCTAAGCAAAATTACAAGAGTAAGCAAACTGAGTCAAAGTCCTCCCCTTCTTAGTGCTTAGATCCCATCTAAAGAGTAGAAATTCCACATTTATGCATTTCAGTGGCCTTTTCATTGCCTTTAACAAGTATACCTTCCTGCTCTGGGTGCTACTGGAAGCATTTGTGGTGGCCCAGTACAGAATAGGGGCTTTATATTTTGTTGATTATAGTAACAGGTACCTCAAGTCTACCTAATTACTTTGGTGGCAGATAGAATATATACCAGTTGCAAAGCCTGTTTTTAGTGACAGGGGGAGGCAATAACCATTTTGGTTCTTACCACTTTCCTTCCTTGAAGAGCAGACATTTTCTGATTAGTTGGATTTCCGTGCCACATACAACCAAGCGGCAAGGTGTTAAACCATTCTGTTGCTCTGCCTTATTTATAGCCATGACCCATTCTTTCCCCCCTCTTACAGTTAATAGAAAGATTCATGATTCTTCATGGTTGTCTATCTAGTGTCTGACAGTCCCGACTGCCTGCTAAAGCAAGTCACTATCTATAATTGATATCCTGCCGTGGAATAGGGTGCTGGCTGCAATTGAAGGGCTTTGCTGAAAGCCCTTAAATCCTGACAAGTTCTCCCCTTGTTCTGCTTCAGTCGCTGAGCTGCAAGGTTGGAATTCCAGAGCTATTTGAACTTGGTGCAAAAGAGAGACATGTGTTTCCCATTAGCAAATCGCAAAGTTGAAGAAGAGAATTAGGAACTGGCTGACTTTGCCAGCCAGTAGTCTCACTTGCAGTGCAGTGCGTGTTCTAGGGAACAGATTACCTCGTCTATTACTGTCTGAACAGACAGACAGAATATTGCCTTCTCCTCCTCTTCGCTTTTACTCCAGGCTCCTTTCCTTTCCCAAATGGTTGTTATTCTAGGTGTGCTGCTGCGGGATCTATTATCACAGCGGTGTGTAATTAATTTCATTTCTCAGCAAGATAATTATAGCTGGGCCTAGATGCTTTCCAGGCAGCTAGTGATATATTTACTTTTATTACCAGAAGCTAGGAAAATAGACATGTATTTTACTCACCAGGCTTTTGTTATACTTTGTCCCTTTCTTGGTATCAGTTAAAATAGAAAGCAACAAAAGCACAAGAAGAATATGCAGTGAAGTTAACTACAAGTCCTTTTGACTGATTGTATGTCTTATTGATTTGTCAAGATCCAAACCTGACTTCTGAAAGGCACATATTCTATGTTTCAGGATAAGCTGAAAGCCCATGTTTCTCTTCAGTTTTGAATTGGCCAGACTCTGCTATTGTGCATTATATTACACAGGACCCACATTTTAAATGTAAATGTGTTTCTAAAGTTGGGCAGTGTCAGTTCTCAGTGTTTGCTCTTGCTTCTGCTTACTTGTATGACTTGGCTTGTGTTGTGGGAAGAGGCTCAGCCTAACTTCCAGGCTTTGCTGAGCTTTGCAAATAATTCTATGAATTTTGTTCTAAAAGTAAGTTGTTTTTTACTTTGGCGGTTGGAACATTTGAAATTCCCATAGCAGGAAGTTCAAGGTCATCTCATGTCCTCTGAAACCTGAACATTTCAGTGGCAAATGACACTGTCTCCACTGATGCATTGCAAGACTTTGTAAAAAGAAAAAGGGGTGGGGGGGATAAATGTGAATATTGTATATCTCAGGGTGGTGTTATCACTGTTACTTGGCCACCTGTGCTTAAAAACATCCCTGTTGAGATCTGAAGAAAAATGGTATAATCACTGTACCTCTTGTTCACCTGTTATTTTGACACTCAATCATCGACCTCGATTTGAACAACTCAACTGTCTAAGAGAGTAAAAGTATTTCTTAGCAGTTTTATTCTTCAATATAATTCCAAACTGCATGACCTAGGACAATGAATGGTTCTTTGACAATGGCAAATGGGGATGGATGGTGTCTTAAGACTGACATCAGAGATCATGAGATGTATCTATGATAACATCCGACTTCAACTGGGAGGCATTTAAGTAAATGTAATCCTCTGTTTGGATCTTTTAAGCATGGTGGCATTTTTTTTTCTTTTTGTGGAGTGATTAACCACCTACCTGGGTTATAAATGCTTTCATATCCTACAAATTTTGATCTTTAAAAGCATGATTGAAGTTCCCTTATAATCACTTTTGCTGCCAGCTAGAAACATTCTATACATCTACACCATAAAAATTAAGGGCTTTGATTTTAATATCAGAGGTGTATATGTAAAGAAAAATCATCTAACTTGCTAAGAATTGTATCTTTAATAACACAGGAAAGGTTTGATGTGAATATATTGTTTTCATATTAATATCCTCATCCTAAATTTGCATTTTATACTTTCTGTCTAATGTTTAATCACTTTACTGGAGTTATGTTGTCCATCCTTGACTAAGAGAAAATTGGGTTTAAGATGTGAGAATGGTTTCTTACATGAGTCAGAGATTAGTTTCATGTGCACAAAAAAAATCTAAAATGAACAAGTAAAGATTTTGATCTAATTTCCTTCTACATGGAATTGCTAGTTAACATGTAACATAAAATACAGACTCAAAAACTACACACTTCCAAGAAACTCTGCAGTGACTGTGCCTTAAGGGTCATATTCTTTGTGAAGTTGCTGACTAAATTTCACCTGCAGAAAGCATTTCCGTGAAAATATATCCAAGAGATTGGTCTGAAAGGTCAGGGAACAAGAGCTTTGTGGCCCAATGCTAAAGCACCCCGTAGGCCCAGCTAGATTCTGAGTGGCAGCCTCATCCCTGCCCTCACTCTCCAGATGCCCTCCCAGGCACCCTTTGACCCTTTCAGACATTATTTTCTCACTTATCAGACTGTGAAACAGTCGTGAAAATAAATACTGTCCACAATATCCAAGGCCAAGCAGAGATCACTTACAGTGGGCCTAGTGAGAAACAGACAGCAGGTCCAAATGAGGCAATTCCAACTTGGGTTTCTTTTTGAAGATTAGGTTGGGGAGGATGGTGAGATGATTCTGTTGGTCTTTGGGACTTCTGTGTCAGTTCTAAGGCTGGTTTTATGTTAGTTGTTGCTAGCTGGAGCCAGTCAAATGCTGTATGTGCTAGAGAGTGCTATA